CGCTGACTCGTTTGCTAAACGCGCTTATTAGAGATCGTTACGTGATAGGAACAAGTTGGGTCAAACCAACCTCAACATGAGTCATCAAACCAATAGTAGGGAACACGTTGAATATAAATAGAAAACCAGAATCATGCAATTGCCTTTCAGTTTATTTCATTCAATCGTATAAATCGTAACGTAAATACAAACAACGTCGAAGCATCGAGCTATTGTTGTTTCTAATATAACTATTTCTTTGCAGATGTTTATCTCACTTTTGTAAATGAACACAACCAAATATCCTAAACAATCCGGGTAGGCGAGCAATGTCCAAATAATGGTCTGCACTGAGACAATTGGTCAGAGAATATGTCGTTAGAGCAAAGCATTAGTGCCACGTGCAGTGTTGTAAACATTGCTGTAAGTGGCGCCCTCCAAATAATTAAAAAAATAGGGTTCAGAAAGTATTGATCAAATAATTCACGAACCTAAAATATTCCATGAATAATCTAAGTAAGAATATTGAGACATTAACATTTGCCAATATTGTTATAATTCTGGGCCTCAATATGGACATCAGATTGAAAAGGGTCACAATGACCCAATTAACGTGTTGTTTGACGTTTAAAAATTAACATGATGTTAATCTATTGTTTAAAGCCTAAGAGTCATGTGACGAGGTGGCCGAGTGGTTAAGGCGATGGACTGCTAATCCATTGTGCTCTGCACGCGTGGGTTCGAATCCCATCCTCGTCGCCATTGTTTTGTAATAGGGTTAATTATAATCAGTGGTTATCTATACCTATTGCTTGACACGTCGGCCATAGTTACTTTGTCGCCTTTTTGTTGTTCACGTTTAATCAAAGGCGGCGGCACGAAAGAATGCATCGGTGCCTTACTAGAGGGGTACGGGGCGTGCTCCCCCGGAAAAAATGTAATCTAGACCACCTGAAATTTCTGCATTTTGAAGGTCTAATTTTGCTGACCCAAATGGTTTCTTTCAGCTTGCGTCCCCAAAACATTTTCAGGGGTGAGGGCGACCGCCCCTCTCCGCCACTGGTAATGCAGTTGCATCCCAAATTGTATTTGTGGCTAGAATACGATTGGCAGTGAAACGTGTATGCTTTATTTCGCGTGGATTATAAGTTTAATTCGTGTATACCTAATTGTTTATACAATTGGGAAATCAATTATGGCACTGCAAATTGCGTGTCATATAAATCAACATGATAATGTAATTCTTCGTTTGCAAGTTTTATTTCATAAGCACACTATTATAAAAAGATTTGTTTAATTTGGATGGTGATGAATTATGGGCAATAACGGGCCTTGCGGAGTCTTTAATTTCAATTATAATACCATGGACTGTCGAACATTATGAGGTTATCACCAGGATACCGAAAAGTATGCACGAAACAGTACAGCGGTAGTATCGACCGACACACAGCGGAGGTCGATGCGATCGCGTATTGTCCGAGTGCATACTTTTAGATCTCCTCGTAATAACGTTATTATTATACATCTTTTCCTCCCAATAGTACATCATGGGAATGCCGAAATAAAAAATGTTTTGAACAGATTGAGCAAACTGCTTTGTATTGGGTCCTGTGAAACCCATTCTCTACCATCAGTCCCAGGCAACAGGGAGTTACCGCAGGATGGCGCGTGACCCTTGTTACGCAAGATGGGGTCAAACCCTGGGGCTGCTATGTTTGTTTTTTTATTATTCAGTTAGAGGACGCTTACGCGCGTAAACGTTCCATATTTGGAATTCGCGTTTCGTAATATGGTAGGATGAAAATACCCAGTGCGATATCGCAAAATTACGGCACGCTGTAACTTATGGCGTTACGGTGTCAGATGTATAATAATAGAATATATGTGCAGTGGTAGCTTGAGAAAAAAAAATACTGTGGTTAGTGCGTCATGGAAGCATAATGTATCAGAATTGACAAGGTATGAACCCATAGGTACTCTAGTTTTGGTGTGTAGATGTACAAACTTGTGCACTGAAAAACAGGGACAGGGCTTCGTGTGCAGGGAGCCGACAAGGCCCCAATGGAAACGAGCACCCCCACATTCATAGATCGGTACATAAACAGACATAGTTCGATTTGTGTATTATTGTATTGGCTCTCTAAGTCATATCAATTACTGTCTACTCAGTATTTGCCATATGCATTTAATAAGGTTTTTTTACACCGGTTTCGTGATACCCCCTCGCCCCGTGTACTGTTTTTTTTTTCTCAATTCAACCATCACCGGCTCCGAGTTTCTAATGGCCACCCTCTAATCCTGTTATATCGTCTAGTGCATGAAGGGCGGGTCACGGTCATCATCGCAATTATATATATATATATATATATATACACAATGGAGCTCAAGATCTTGCAGAAATATACAATCAATTACACCAATAGCCCCGTATATCAGCCAACTTTTCAAAAACATGTGAAGGGCGATATATTTTCACAAAATGTAAAATTATTCAAATTAGCAAATTTGCGTATTGTATTGATAATTATCCAAATTCACAACAAATAATATGCTTCACTTTTTCTCTGGAAAACGAAAGAACCACATTTCGTAATACTGCATGATCAAGTTACCTGCAAAGACTATAAATAACATTTATCCACGATGTTGTCATCGAGTACTATTGTGAAATACTATCAAGAGCATATACATGCATTAGGAAACAACGATACATGCCATAACATGATGGCATGCTCCCAGTAATTTAGGGAGACTTCTGTTCATATAATCTATATATATCACTGTGCTGCACATGCACTGTTTACGGAACGAGAGTACAATAAAGCCTGGCGCACACGAGAGCTATCAGCTCAGGCAAAATTCATTCGTGGCTGTTTGCTTAAGCAAATATCTTCCGTGTGCGCGCAACTTTACGCAAGATTTTAGTCACTCGTGGCGAAATGGTGAATATCTATTGTGTTTGATAAATTTCGCCACTCGTGGCAGAATGCTTTCCGTGTGCGGTGAAATGAAAGCTATCTGCTTACGCGTACTCGTAAGTGCGCATGCGTCGCGAATGTTTACATAACAACAAAATGGCTGCGCCCACGGACTCGGAATTTGTGAATGACGCTCTCTTAGAAGAGAGTCTTGTTGACATTTGGCCGGATTACCCTTGTCTGTATGATGTAAGGTCATTAGGCCATCATTTCCAGGGGACAGCGATACTTACAGCGGAATGGTCTGGGGGTAACTCATAATATGAGTGGATTGTCTTCAGCGCATAGGACCTGGTAGACCCATTAATAGTAAACAAAAATATACTCAAGCCCATACATTCAAATAAATTGGGCGTATTTTGTTTTAACTGTTCGAGTGGTTTTGTGTGCATTATTCTTACGGTAGTTCTCTTTTTGGAGGATGTGGTGGCCCTGAAAAGAGCCGTTTGGTTTGCGTGTGCTTCAAGCTACACATTTTATCTGGAGCTGGTGTACTTGGTGACTGCCTTGGTGCCTTCGCTGACTGCGTGCTTGGCGAGCTCACCGGGCAACAACAGACGAACAGCGGTCTGGACCTTTCTACTGGAAATGGTACTACGCTTGTTGTAGTTAGCCAACCGAGAAGCTTCATACGCGATACGTTCGAAGACGTCGTTCACAAAGCTGTTCATGATGGACATGGCTTTAGAAGAAATACCAGTATCTGGGTGAACTTGTTTCAAAACCTTATAAGATATAAATACCATATGATTCCTTCTTACGGCGTCTTCTGTTCTTTGCACCACCACGGACCTTTTTGGCCTTCCCGCCTTTCTTCGCGCGTTTACCTGTAGATTTCGGTGGCATTATAATTCAAAACACAACAACGCGGCGAAAATATGCCGTTCACACGTTGCCGACGCAGTATATCAGCGAATATGCAAAGGGAAAGGGAAGAAGGGCGGCAAGGCCAAGACTCGTTCTGCCCGTGCTGGTTTGCAGTTCCCTGTCGGTCGCTGTCATCGTTATTTGCGTAAAGGTAACTACGCCAATCGTATTGGCGCTGGCGCCCCTGTCTACATGGCGGCCGTGCTCGAATATTTAGCTGCTGAAATCCTTGAGCTAGCTGGAAATGCCGCCCGTGACAATAAAAAGACAAGAATCAATCCTCGTCATGTTCAGCTTGCAGTACGAAATGACGAAGAACTGAACAGACTGATGGCTGGTGTAACCATTGCACAGGGCGGTGTACTTCCGAACATTCAGGCGGTACTTTTGCCAAAGAAGAGTGGTAAAAAATAAACTCAAACAAAAATTAAACCAAACGGCCCTTTTCAGGGCCACCACATCCTCCCAAAAGAGAATTACCGTACTATATTTTAATACATTTTGTTAAATATAAAGCCCAAGGTTGCATTCTTTTAAAGCAGGGGTGTTGTCACCCACGCATGCGTCAGGTGGTCATAGCGTGTCATTGTTTACAAACGCAATGAATGATTTACAACGTCCACAGACAACACATATCACTAGAACGACATCTAGTGGAAAGAAAATTTACAAATTCATGAACACAAAACAAACGGCCGATGTACAGTCGGGAACATTTATGTAGAAACCCACTCTTAAATGCAAACAACCATGGTTTATTTTTGCAATAAATTGTATATTATATTGAATTGAAACAAGTTGGGGGTAACCAACGTAATTTTTAAAAAAAGGAGGTTTGTTGATAGTGGCCATTTTCTTATAAAGGGCGGTGGTCGTCGCGCCGCGTCCTTGTCGATATGGGACTCATTGCGACATACAACGCGTGTAAAATACATTGTTTATTTACATGAAATTCAAACACGCGCTGGGCGACGACCACAGACTGCGCTTTAAAGCGGGCCCGTCGTCGCGCTGCGCATGTCCAGAATTTTTATTTACAAACACCTTTTGTTTCCCACAATGCACCTCGCTATTTTTTCTTAGTGGCTTATAGGGTTGCATATACTATGTCTTTTCAATCACGTCGTGCCGGACAAAACTAATTTATAATGTATATGATATTGACAATGATGTTGTTTATATTTTGTGTAGCTTTTCGTCAAATAATTATATTGCAATGCGTATTATTGATTGACTGAGTTTTCCGAGTTCCTTCGAAAGTCGTTATATTCTGCTCTGTGGGGGCGCTGTACCCGATGTAATTCATGACTGGGGATTTCATATTCGCCTACAAGGGATAAAACTTCAATAATCCGAACTAAACTGTGAACGTGCCTGAATGGAAATTAAGTAAGATACGTCAATTTGAAGTTCAAAATATTCTTTATATGAAGCAAATATGTACGGCGAAGTCGCCACTGAAACATCGCATCCGAGATATCAGCAGCGCGCTCTAAGGTACCGTGTGTCACGGCGCTCACTGAGCGTTCTAGGCCCAAAGCTGAGTGGCGTGCGAATGCACATATAATGTGTAGTACGTTCGTGAAAAGTCATTACTATCACATCAAAGGCGCGCTGACACCTTTATCTGGCAAGTGTTGAAATAGATAAATCAATATCTGTTCACGTTTAAAACTGTTGAAAATAACATACATTTACTCTGTGTTTTTCAGCAATGTATGTACAAAACACATGCTATTCATTTTATAATAAATGACATAAAATACCGCATACCTCAAATAGAAGAAGTGAATGAGAGGTGTAGTCATGCATGGTGGTTATCTGTTCGATGAAATAAAATAAATAACACAGTCATTCGGGCAATATCGCGATTTCTTGTCTTCCACTCTCGCATTATGCGACAAATGTAAAATATCGTAAAATACGGAGTAAATATGACATAATTACCATGATTCCCATCTTACGAGGGCTATGCGTGTTAACGGGCTGTAAATTACGAATTTTGCCGCAGCTCTTCAATATTTCATTGTTCGAAGATGACACAGCTGTCGTGTTTTGATTATTTGATTTGTAGAAATGCACCAACTACCGGCATTTGCATAAAAACAAATATTTTCTATATACTGTTTTGATTTCTGATATTGTACAGAATGGCAGATACGTAGTTGTATCACTATAGAGTAATATGAAAACAATATTACAGTATTTACAGGCGAATATAATAAAAAATACCGAAAATTAATTACTTCCCGACAAAGTGTGAACTATCACGGGGTAAATTCTCTTCCCTCGGGGTTCTCCACACGCGTCAGGGGGGAAACTCGTCTCGTCTCTCTATCTCGTCCCCTTGAGGTACGGGATCGGGAAAGTCACTTTAACTTTACAGTCAAATAAGACACACACAACGAAATACGTTTCAGCTCTCGTCTTAGTCGGTCAATCGAGCACTCTATAAGACACAGCGCCCTGGGGAAAAAATCCCCAAGGCTATCACAAGGCTGACCCAAGACTAGCCCAAGACTGGACTGCCTCAAGGCTCGCCCCAGGACTGGACTCGACTCTCCAGGACTGCTCTCTCTCTCTACTGCGTCTATCGTGCTGTGCTCCCCAAGACCAACTCAAACTCTCTTTATTCATTTTCACAACTCTAACCAATTACAAAACAGTAAAAAGACTCTAGGGCGTAACCTTCAATCATAAAGCCAATCACACTAAGTACTGAATACGTCATATCTTTTGATTAATCGTTCACTACATTAATAACTATGAATATAAACTGTCAGAATGGCGACGATTATCTGGTAATTAGTTCCAAATCACTGAGCCAAGTTCCGTCCAAAACTTCAAATAGACCTAAACGATGACAGACATAACACAGCAATTCGCTCGTAATCAACTAATTAAGTCGGTTAACAGATACGCGAAAACAAATTCATGACAGAACATTCAATGTGGAAAATACACATGTCTGTAATTGATGCATGTTCCAAGGCGGCAGTGGCAACATGTGTAACATATCAATCCTAAAATCTTTGAAGATAGACGCCCAATCACGTCGACAAATCAAGACCTGCTGGTAAACATCGCAGACCAATTTTGATAGGAATTGCTCGGGATATAGTACTTCATATGACGCGGCTTTTCTATATAATACAGTTATTATCCCGACTTCAGTATTCAGCCTCGAACGCCACTGATTATATGAGGTATGACAAGTTGGATCGTGATTATGACTAAAAATATGGCTTAAATTTTTTTATAAAATTGGCATAATTGACAAGGTAGCCGAGTGGTTAAATTAAAAAAGGGTCATAATGACCCAATCAACGTGTTGTTTGACCTCTAAAAATACAGGTTTGAGGAATTATTCCTCAAACTTTTTGACATGAATGGTCGCGACTTGTGTAGCAAAACAAAGCACTTGGCATTTGTTGGAAAATAATACTGTATTCTTAAAAAGTAAAAATCGAAATACATAGTGGAATATATTTCAACTTAAAATAACATGATGTCGATCTCTTGTTCAAACTCTGATAGCCACGTGACGAGGTGGCCGAGTGGTTAAGGCGATGGACTGCTAATCCATTGTGCTCTGCACGCGTGGGTTCGAATCCCATCCTCGTCGCCATTATTTTGCACTATTTATTCATGCAAAAAATATAATAAAAAAATGTATTCGTGTCATGATCACAACCTGTTATGCCTGAGACGCATAACATTACAAGATATACAGTGAGACGTGCTTAGAGAGTGTGTAGTATATATATTTAATTTAGTACGTCGTCCAAAATGTTGGGGACATTTGTCGGCTCCTGGTGGATACCTTGGTAAATCAGAAACAAAAAACAAAACGCGCACTCGAGCTCTTTAGCGTCAAAGTGCTTTCGTGCCGTAAAATGACGTTTATTTAAAGTCAGTTTGAAATACCTAGCCAAGGGCTAATGTCACTGACTTCTAAAAATCACATCAAACAAAAGCAAAAATTACAAACATCAAACACAGAGAAAAACAGCAGTAAGACTTCACAAATAATTAATTGTTTAAGTAATTAAAATTCTAGTATCCAAAAATGATGGTGACCACAATGACACCATTTGCTTAAAAAATACAAATCATTGCACTCCTTCATTCGGTTAGGAAGCGAATTCCACATTTTAGCACCATAATAAGACAATAACTCCAGTCCATAACGTTTTGTCCTTGGGCGCTTCAACTGTAATTGATGAGAATTTTTTAAATTGTATGTTACATTTTTCTCCTTGTATAAATCCCACATAAAAGATGGGGAGAGTTTGTTCACACTTTTATAAACTTCAACAAGTATGTCACGATTCTTGAACACCTCTCGTGTTTGTAGTCCAGCACGTTCCAATAAAGTTTGATAGCTGGACTGAAAATCATTGTACACAAATTTCAGAGCTCTGTATTGAATACGCTCCATCTTATCAATGTTTACCACAAAAAATCCAAACTAAAGAACAATAAGTAAAATGTGATAAAATAAAACATCTAAATATACATAGTCTTATATATGATGGAAGAAGACAATGGCGTTCAAAGCGACCAATATGTTTGGTCTTGTTTAAACTTCAGTAAGTCTCTCGAAAACATTACTCTTTGTTTATTGGTGGCTGCAGATTGAAACAATGTAGGCACTATGAACGTTTATCGCGTTGTTGTGAAATACATCTATCACTAACTGATATTTCGCGCCAAGCTCGGCGTTGTGAACGACAAACATGATTGGTCTGTGTGCTAGAACATATTAGCATAAATTAGCATCTGATTCGTAAGCGTAGTCCCGTAATCACGACTCCTCTGTCGTTTCAACGCTTGGAAGTGTTCATGTGATAAAACAAGTTATATTTACTGAGTCATGGACTGTATTATAATACTAACCCACGACGCCACTCCTATCAATCAAGTGATATCACGTGATACTCTCATATTATATCATGACGCAATGTGTACATTAAAATCTATGCACCAAAACGCTAGTATTGATTGTACAGTACGCCAATAGATCGTTTAAAGGGCGGTGGTCGCGCGAAATATTGTCTCATATAAAAATCATGGCGACTTTGACTGTTGATCAGTGAGTGATTGGAAAGAATCAAAACTCATACTCTTGGTATCGTGAGAAAAGCGCATTGGACTGTGGGAAAAATCAATGTTTATCAACACAAATGTCGCGAATGCGCGGCGCGACGACCATCGCCCTTCAACAAAAGTTGGAAAATGTACAATTTGTGTAAGTGTATGACCATGTTTTTGTGCCGGGAAATAATAACTCACGCGTAACATTATTACCTGAGGTCACTGGGTCATCGAAATAATCATCTAACAGATCTGTGGAAGGGCAATCTCTACGCTCAAGGTCATCGTAATGAAACCCTTTTTGTGATACCTGCTAAACACACTTATCAATCCAGGGTAAAACGAAAACAGAATTCACCTTATATTGCAAACCGAATATCACCAGTTTAAACAGTACATGAATTACACGATGCGTTTTTATGTGTAGTATACTCGTCATCGTTCGCGTGACGAGGTGGCCGAGTGGTTAAGGCGATGGACTGCTAATCCATTGTGCTCTGCACGCGTGGGTTCGAATCCCATCCTCGTCGCCAATCTTTTAAACCAGAAAAGTACAGGAGGATCGTCGAAAAATACCCCCTAGCTACCAGGATTAGTAGTGAAATATGCTGTACCTGCTGAACCTCAGCAATTTAAAATGCGCCAATCATCCTTAGCAATCTGAGGTAACTGATGAAATTCAAGTAACACCAGAGTAACACAATACAATTACGTGGTAAGTGTGCGACAAAACACTGTTTGATTCACCCAGTATCTAAAAGAGTGAATTCTCAAAATAAGTAATTTAACGTCCAGCGAGATATATTAAATGCTGTACATAAAATATCCAACGTTGTTTCCTCGTCAAATAGTTCCCCAAAATTCATGGAATTCTAGCTTAATCATTCTAATCCATAAATAAATGATCAAATCCTTCAAATTATAGGGGAGTTGCTGTTCCCTGGTTGCCTATGGGAAAACTCTTAACAAAAATATTAAACACAAGATTGATTACCTAGATAAAAAAGAATTACCCAGATAAAAATAACGCCATTTCAATCCCCAATTTATCAATTGCACTGGACTGAGAAAAAGTCTGCTCACTACTGACAGTTTGACATTGTTTTATATTTATATAAAAGTACTGGAGTATTCGTTGGTGAAATATATAAACTATTAAAAACGTGTATAGCGATATCCCGTGTTTCGATTTTATACTGTCGTTTAGTATAAAGTTTTTAAAAATATTCGGAAATCTACCCTTACCGTCATGGTAAAATGCACTCTAACATTGACATGGTTGAAAGATACTGCCGACAATATTGGAGTTTTGGAGATTTAAAAATGAAAGGACCCCTGGAAACAACATCTATCTAATATCGATATATTAATATAATTCTCCAGTATCGAGTAGCCTTTTTACATTGCATTTGGTTTGTAGTTTGCGTCGGGGATTTTAACTGCAAAAAGCCTTTGGAAACAACACAACAAACTCACTTTGGGCTCACTCTAAAAGACTGACTAACATTTGTAAGCAAATAACGCCGAATAAACGACAAGGTGACTAACTTCTATACTATTCTCATAAATAATATCGATGAGCATAGTCAATATTGTGTATCTCATACATTATTTTGAATTTTTAGGATACATATATTGATAGGTATGTATATTATACCGAGTTATAATAACGACATCGAAAAAAAACATATTATGATGATTACATCACACAAAATGGTGACGTCATCAACACGTGTCAAACCTCAATTATCAATATTCAAAAAGTATTTTACGCTCCGTCAGAAATATAAATCCATGTTTAAATTGTATCACTCACGGCAGAAGTGTATTAATTATTAGAGTATTTCAATACGTCATCGATCACGTGATATCCGTGCTTACTGGAGTATATACTCCCTCTAAAACCACCAACCTAGCAGTTATTTGGTAAACTTACATTACTTACCGTTCCCTTGCGTACATCAGTGAGTTTTTTTAGATAAGGCTGTGCTTTCAATGACGTCCGAGTCAGACAGACAAGTAATGATATCAACAACTTGGAACACGGATAATTCGAAATGTGGCAGTCTAATCTATGACGTCACAGGTTCAAGTCACATGGTTTAGGATAAGCCGACGCAGATTGCCAAAGGTAGTAGCATACCCACAGTGTATTTGTGTAAATGGTTTATCTATGTTCATTCGGGTATTACAGTGAAGGACAGAATGTGACGATAAAACTATAGTTGTATGCAATCTCTTGTTTGTTTTTAATTGTTTTTTCAATAAATAAAAAAAATGACCCCAATTCACATTTTAAAAAATCCTGCGATTACAAGTTGAAATGAACTGCTTATCATTGAATTGCTACGATCCCTGTCACAGATTTGCAACTGTGACCGGTTGAGTTGGAGAGCGCCGCCTGTGGTAAAGTCCGGTCTGTTCAACTTTAGATAACCCAACATACGCTGTAATATATTCATCCGCCAGTCACAAATTTATTAATTTGCGTTAAAATATACAACAGAAAGCATAGTTCATCGTCTCTTAAGTTTTCTATTTGGTGAAGAAGTCGAGAAAACACAATTATGGCGCATTTAAAAATAGAACTCGAAAACGATGCACTACATTACCTGACCCCGCTTTAGTATACATCGTGTAAATACGCAGTAAACCGAGCACAGCCGGAAAACACGTTGGATACATATCGACGTTACAAGCACCATGGCAGACCCGATACCGGCATCTGTGGGAGGGACAGCCGTCAAGATTGGGATAGGTACCACGGCGGCCTTGGCTCTCGTGAGATGGGTATACCCATACTTTGGACGGGACTTCCAAACACTGCGGACGATACTTACGATACAAAATGCGGCCAAATCGTGGATGGGATCGGGACGTTACGTTGTCGACTTATTTATAAGTTCGGCTGCCAAACACCCGTATAAGGCGTGCGTCATATACCAGAATCGCATTTTCACGTACGGCGACATAGACCGAATGTCCAATAAATTGGCGAACTTCGTCAAGCAGCGTGGCCTGAAACGTGGCGACACGGTCGTCATAGTAATGCACAACGAACCGGCGTTCATCGTCGCCTGGATTGCCTTCGCGAAACTCGGGATTAAGTGTGCGTTCATGAACTATAATCTACGGACAGAATCGCTTATCCACTGCCTAGATGTGAGTGAGGCTAAAACAATTTTACTCGGAGAAGGTTAGTGTGTTTTTATCGTGACCACTATGCACCCAATCATTTCATTCATAACATCGGCTGATGTTGTGGGTCATAGGTCATGGTGTGTGCGTCATGTGCTTAGATCTCAACTCGCTGCTTCAGCAGAATAACTTATCTCTGAAATAAATGCGATATTGCATTGTATAGTAACGTGGGTAGGATTGCTGCCTAAGTTATCTCTGTACGGGCGTAAAATGACATTGTTCGTGAAGATGTGTACGTTGTTATCGTTCTTACAAAGGTCGGAAAAGTTTGTTGACCTAAATTGTACACTGGTCTTGACAATCCTGCTATAAAATACGTCTATTCAATGTGCTATATACATGTATAAACGAATGTGCTGGTTGCTTTTAATATATTCCCGATACCCCATCTTGTCGCTTTCGTAATATAAATACATAAAATGAAAGGTTGTGCTTCTCGTGATGATTTGGTTTTATTTTATTTTTATGATTTTTTATTCAGTGCCACAGCAGTATTATATGTGTTCAACTTTTAACATTTATTAAATAATGATTTCGAACACATGCATTAAATATTGATTGATAAAACATCCTCTGAAACAGAAAACTAAATAAAAAATTCCAAATCACACAGAAAAGGGCCACGTCCGGGGCCCGAGGCCTCGCAAATTTGACAATCTTCACATGATGCACAAGCCCGAGTATTCAAACTAGCCCGCATCCCTCAGACCAATTATGATGACATAGTATATTGTGAATATTATTAACAGGTCTGCAGTTGCTGGATGCATTTGACGAGATATCTTCGCAACTGAGGGATCGAGAGATGAAAGTGTGGTCTGTTGGGAATGACGTGTCTAGCCATAGCGGTATACTTAGCATCGACGCTGATATAGAGGGCGCTTCGGCGGATCCTATACCCTTCGAAGAGAGAAGGGAAGTGAGTGAGTTCGACACGGCGGTGTATATCTATACTTCTGGTACAACAGGTAAGAGTATTTAGTGTTTCGGATCGACGAGTCGTGGTAAAAATATTACTTATTAAGGAAAATTGTTTCTGAGAGAGAGAGAGACACACACACACACACACGCACACACGCACACACACACACGCACACGCACGCACGCACGCACGCACGCACGCACGCACGCACGCACGCACGCACGCATTCAGTGTATACGCTGGTCTCGTTGAAGTTTTAATCATGTTCGCATTTCATATACTAGTAACGTGTATGAATTTGTAACACATTTGAGTGCGGTCCACTTAACCCAATGCAATAAATGTTTCAATTGCCGACATTTCGATAAATATATGATATTTTAGTGCATGTAGCAATTGTATATTTCCACAAGAATTATCATATTTGAATAAGTCGTATCACACGGCGATGAACCTACTTAATTCGTTGAAACACGTTTATCCTTGATCACTCTACGTGACATTGCTAGCTTGTTGTACAATTATACAGCTATGTAAAAACCAACCAGTGTTGTTATTGACTTTTTCGTGCACAGGTCTTCCAAAGGCAGCAAAAATAAGTAACTACAGACATGTACTCGCAGCCTTCATTTTAACCTTTTTTGACATTCGGTCGGACGACAAGGTGTACTTGACTCTGCCCCTGTACCACGGCTCTGCTTTCACGCTCGGATTTGGGAACTGCATTCGAGCAGGTTAGTAGCATATTTGAATGTCTTAGTAGATGTTTCACGTGTTCGTATTTCCTTGGCTTGTGGCGAAACACTGGAACACTTATTTCAATAAGTTAAGTTAGTAATTACCAATGCGACAGGGATTGAAGAAAGAATATAATCCGATTGTTATTATTATTATTATTAATATTATTATTATTATTTACCTTATCTTTATCTTATATTTATGTTATACTCGTGTGCATTTGTACATTTCGTGTCGGTTCCGCCATATTTGTCAAGGGTAAATCTATCTCAATCCATTGTCCGAGTAGTAATGCACGTTTTTTTTTGTTTTTTTTTTTAATTTTTTTAAAATAGGTGCTACTATGATTTTATCTCCAAAGTTTTCCGTGCATAATTTCTGGGAAGAATGTCTTCGGCATGACGTCACGGTATTTGTGTACATCGGAGAAATATGTCGCTATTTGCTTAGTCTTCCCCAGGTGGGTTAAATACATGATGAATTTTTTGAGGTCCGCTGTCGTGTATGTCGAGCACAGTTAATCATATTACTTATTTCCGTCGGCGTCCTTGCTTTCATATTATACATATAGGTACTACATGTAGACCTCTCTCAGATTTGTTTATTTCGCGATGATATCTTCAATTCTCTAATTTTGATGAATATTTTTGACATTTTTGGTAAAAAGTGTGTTGAAAGTCTGATTGTTTTGTAAATGAACATATGGACCAATCTCGGATTTGTATATTATGTGATGATATCTTCAGTTCTCTAATTGAAATATGCATTGCTAACAGCGGAGCTATCTAACCGAGAGGCTGTTCGTTTCCCGATTCAATATATCCCGAGCCCCAGTGCAATCGTCGTGAACGGGGTAAATGAATTATCACGTGATCCTACATCTATGCAAAATATAGTATAAACTTAATAATACATATTGTACGCATACTAATGTCACAAACAGAAAAGTTGCATATTATGCCGTGCTTGTTAAGATATGGATCATGATAACTTTAAATTATGATCTATGCTGGTGGGGAATTGAAATCAATGATTTTTTTTTCAATCGCTTATTTTTAAAATGTCGTACAAATTCATTCGGTTACGTTCGCAACAGATCACAATAAATGCGATGACAATACAATTTAATCGCAAAATGACTCTGAAATGAACTCTTACCCGTTATTTAGATGTACAAAATGAAGCCTTTCAAAGAAACGAAACTTTGACCGGGTATAATAGTAATCGCTTCCCATTCGACCTGTTCGATAACAGTCTAGCTGTGAATATTCGCATATTTTCTGTCGATTTGAAAATCTCTTCATATCACTGCCGATATAATGAATATTTATGATTCGTTATAGCATCCCAATGACAAGAAACACAAAGTTCGCATGGCAATTGGTAATGGTCTTCGGCCAGATGTTTGGACCAAATTCCGGGAGCGTTTTGGTATTTCTACTATCGGAGAGCTGTATGCTGCCACAGAGGCGCCATTTTGGGCGAGCAATCACGATGGAAAAGTTGGCGCTATTGGGAAATCTTCGCCATTACTGAAAGTAAGTTGCGATTCAACGTCAACTTCCGTCTTGAGAGCCCACACATTTTTTCCGGGTGACATGGCAGCCATATTAAATTTCAGGCTCTGTAATCCTTAAGACAGCTGAATGTCGAAACGTATACATAACACTGACCGTTTTAAAGGAACTGTTGCGTCACTTGCTACCAACCGTAGATCCTCAAATGAATGTCGCATGAGAAAGTACAAGTTCATGAACACAACAAAACTACATGTACAATACATTTACAAAACATGGCCTAATCAGTGAAAGACTGATACATAGCCTCTTAAGGTATACAACCAAGAGGTGATGTCAGGAATTCTGAAAAAGTGAACACATCCCGTTTCCACATAAATGTATATCGCTTTGAGTCATTATCAGATGATTTATTTGAAGAAAACTTTGGTCTACACCAGGAAAATTGCATTGAAGACTTATATGACATCTAAAAATCTCGAAAAGTGTAGAATTGAAATTATAAATAATTTTAGTAAAACTTCAAGTTGACGAGCCTCTTCGAATAGTAGAGATATACAAATCCACATTTAATATCCAGGGTAACCAATGGAAACACGTGTCCCACACTATTGCATAAAATGTGTTTCTTTCTTTTGTGTATTTTAGAAACTTATAGGTTACGAATTGATTAAATGTGATTATGAAACGTCTAAGCCAATCAGGAACTCTAAGGGCCGATGCATTCCAGTAAAGTATGGTACGATTCTTCATTATTATTTTTTATACAAACACTGTCAATATTAAAGCAATGAAACAAACACTATCGAATGTGAATGTCACTTGACGTTTCGTGGGTTTAAGTTGCGTTCTCACCATGTACGATCTGCAGAAAACCTCTCACTGACGCCTTTATAAATAATTAAGCATCATAAGGGCTCTGGGTTTTGTACAGTTCATGAGAAATCTTCTCTAAAACAATCCAGAAATCGAATTTAAAACATTCACCTATAATAAAGTTAAAATGCGCACATGGAAATGGAATGAAAACAATGAAAATTAGGTTTCATTTGGGGTTGGACACAACGTGCGATGTTTCCGTCAAGTTCAGATAAGCTTCAGTGTTGCCAACCCAACTGATTTTGTCATTTCTCGTGGTGATTGAAATAATCATTGGGAGGTGTTCTGTATACATAGTACAAAGTGGGAATACAACTTTAAGTTCTGTACGACTTATTTGTTGCATTACAGGGGAACCTGGGTTATTGATTTGCCAAATCAACGAAAGAAGTCGGTTTGATGGTTACTCTGGTAAAAAAGAGTTGAGTGAAAAAAAGCTGATACGGAACGCCTTTAAAGATGGAGATCTGTATTTCAATAGTGGTGATCTGCTCGTCTTGGATAAGAATTACTACTTATACTTTAATGATCGTGTTGGTGACACTTTCAGGTATTCGTACAGTCATTCTCGTATATATGCATATATATTGTATACCGACGAATTTCCGCTGCAGTCGTAAGAAAGCATATCTGTAGTGATTCAACATAATCACAATTTGTATGTTGATGTCACAAACTGGAACGATATGGAGTGTCAATTTTATGATTGGATATTTGACGTTACAGTTTCTTTCTCAGGTGGAAAGGTGAAAATGTTGCAACGACAGAAGTTGCTCATGTGTTAGCATCATACCCGGGTGTGTTAGAAGCGAACGTGTATGGCGTAAAAGTACCAGGTAAGTAAACTCTTAAGGACCAACATTTCATAAGATACTAAAACACGATAACCTGCATAATTTAATCTTTAACGTACACACAATAACCAACTGCATTCGAAGATATAATCAGTTTTGAAAACAAATCTCGTATCACATGTATCATGAGCGTAACCCTGTATTTATGAAACCATCACATACAATGTGTATACATATCGTTATAGTATATAACAAATCAACAACAAGCATGTTAATTTAATTTAATTTTTATTTGCTCATATCTGAATATCATATAAGTTGTCTTTACTCGTATATATATGAAGAAATGTTTTTAATTTAACAGTGACTACTTTTTATTTGACACTTCCGCAACATTAGTCAGCATTATATTCATTTCTTCAAATTACCCATCATTATTCAACAATCTCTGCACATTAGCGTAACACCAAGAAAATATTTTTTTTAATATAATATTCTTCGGAAAAAAGTTTCATTTTAGTGTATGCTCCAACAATGAGCTCATAATTGGTTTCCATTTCTATACCACACTTCTTTCGCTTTGCATTGATGTTATACATGATATATTTCTAGTGTTATATACAAATGTGCTACCTATATATAAAATAATATTCCGATTTTTTGCTATGTAAACATTCAAAGAGCTACCACTTTAACATCGATATAGTTGTGTTATTAATTGTACATTTGCTCTCGCTTTGCGTCATTCCAGAGCACGATGGCAGGGCGGGCATGGTTGCGCTGAAACTGGAAAACGAGGAACAATTCTGTCGAGATTTGCCCACGTTCTACTCGCACATCACTTCTTCACTGCCACACTATGCGTGCCCACGATTTTTGCGTATCCAGGAAGATATCGTGACAACTGGTACTTTCAAATACACAAAAACTCATCTGGTGGAAGATGGATATGATCCGAATGTTGTTGACGAACCGCTGTATTTTATGGATGTCGACCGTAAAACCTTTTCTGTTCTCGATAAAAACGCTTTTCAGAAAATTATGATTGGTAAAGCTAAACTTTGAGGCATCATATCTTTCTGAATTATGTACTATAATTGCCTTCCAATAATGTTTTATTAAATTGATAAGTTTTATAAATATTGCCAGGATAATTCTAATACAATGACTGGATTACAATTATACATTGTTGAACATATTTTGTATGAGAGAATATTTTGTAATTTTTCAAACCAGTATTAATACAGTATTAAAAACTTTGTGTGTCAAACTGTGTGTATAAATTAACAACTGATTAAAATATTTTAACCCATTATTACAAAACATGCCATATGAGTGTTAATCAACATTTGTTTATTTTCATGCCCCGAAGCGTCATTTAATTAATGTTCCTGACGTGTTTTATACAAATTGTCATATTGAATCATAATGATCTTCTAGATCTGACCATTTTCTGCGAGTTCGGAAAAATCGTGATTCACTATAACGCTGGCATTGATTGTTTAATGGTATTTCATGCTTGACCATACTCGGAGGGTGCTCCGTGAACAATGAAATAATTTCTATATAAACAATAAAATATTTTCTATAGTACCGCTATATTGCTTTCTTAGTTATATGCAATAAACTATTACATGACGGTACTACGTCACACATGTCAAACTATCGTTTACTTCAGTTTGGTATGTTATGATAAATACACTGTAAATTCAACATACTAAAGTACAATCAATTATATTAACCACTTTCATGCATATTTTTTGCGGGGGTATATAATAACACCAGTTATACTTTAAACACCAACATATAACAATTAAAAAAATAACTACAAATCATCTTGTGACATACAGTTCTGGTAGTGCAATATAGAGTTCACAATTAAAAAAAAACTTTTCGTCCTCCTGAAGTACTTGAAAAAATGAGCGTAAATATCTTTAAGAAAAATAGTATGAAAAGAGACGAAAAACTTTATTTTAGGGCGAAAATACATTTTTGAGTAAAAATGGCTTCATTACTGTTTTTATCTCAAATTTGGAATATTTTTTTTCTTGAAATCTGACCCGTGTTTGGGAAATTTTCGGAGTAAATAATCCAATTGGGCAGTGGACGACATAAACTTTTCATACGCGAGTAGCCTCCCCCCCCCCGGTACTCATCGCAGTAATTTGATTAATCCCTCATTCATACAGCAACCAGGATATGACGTTTAGCCACAGACTAATTCACGACAGTCGAGGTACACGTATATATTAGTTTTGTTGTTCTATGACGTAATGTATTTTGTCGTGTCAATGTGTCACAGGGTAACCATACGCGGTCGTGTTAACCATCTGGAATTCCTTCGGCATTCCCGATTTTTCTTCAGAGAACCCTTTCGTTTCTTTGAGTTTAGATGGCGTAACCTTCAAATTTGATGCTTTCGTCAGTTTCTTCCACAGTAGAATACAAACATCGATCATAAATTCTATAAATTCGCAGCATGTGATAACTGAAACACCCAGCCATAGTCCAACTTGTCCACCAAGATCGCTCACTACGTCACCATTCTGGAAAGCAAATTATATTTATAAATTTAATTGAATTCATTTCTATGCCACAAAATTACGAGACGACTGGTTGCGCAGACCGATGCCAGTAACACCTTAACTGAGAATTTGACAACCCCCTCTTAAAAGCATGCACGTTCTCGAATTGTCTATCGAATACACACAATAGCCTGATTCCCTATATTTCCACTGGCGCTAATATGAAGATAATTTGTGCTTTCAGGTGTCATCTCAGAGTCCTATATTCAAGACAATCGCATGTACCAAATCCCACACCATCCTACCCCCACTCTATTTAAAATAATGGCAAACGTTTTTTTAATAATTACAGTATCTCACAATGTGATGAAC